GGGCAGGCAAGCTGGGGGCAGGCAAGCAGCGAAGCAGCCACAGGCGGAGCTCATTTTATTTTGCTTTGCTTGGTTGCATTTTGAAGAGTCTGCTTTTCTCTCTCTCTCTCTCTCTCTCTCTCTCTCTCTCTCACACACACACACACACACACACACACACACCACGTTTGTAGCAAGCCTGCACCAACCAAGCCCATGGGTGCTGTTTTCCCAACACCTTGTGCTCACGTCCTAAGTCACATTTGGGTTGTCCTCACAATATTTCCAACTTTTTCATAATGTTATTGCCCACTTACTAGATTACAACATCACTCTTCTATGCATTTGGGGAATTTCTTTGAACACCATGCGGCTTGCTTTGTTGTAATAGTGGATTTATGGGGTGCTCTACAGCCAGACTCAGAGTCCATCTGAGAAGTGCCGCTGGATTGGGAATGATCATGCAGCCCTAGCATTAAAAAAAAAGGCACGCATTAGGAAACTGAAATTTTATTCGAAATGTAACTTTGACAGGTGGGTGGAAAACAGAAAAAGATAAGATTGCTAATTTGTAATAGATCAAAAAAGTATTTTGACTGAAAATAATTTCTTCATTTTGAAAGACTCCCTTTTAAAGGAGCCGTATGAGTTTTCTAGAAGCCCTAGTGGTATAGTGGTTACATGCTGCACTGCTAACAGCGAGGTCAAGAACTCAACCCTACCAGCCGCTACTCAGGGGAAAGGTGAGACCTTCTTCTCCTGTAGAGATTTACAGCCTCAGAAACACACAGGGGCAGCTCTGCCGGGTCCTATGGGTGGGTATGTGTCGGAACCGACCCCGTGACCGTGAGTTAGGGTTTCTAGTTTATGTGTTTTATAAACTGTTGTGGAAAGTTGAAATTCTGAAGTTCTTAATTCACTCTATGAACTGTTGAGAAAAATTGAAAATGTGGATTCCCATGGTGGCCCTATCGTATTTGTAATGACATGGTGTTGGTATCGATGTATGCACCAGTATGTATGATGAGGGGATCAAGCATGTGCTTGAGCTTTCATCGTCATCGTCATGTTCGCTTCCCTGTTTCACCTGCGAGAGAGCAAAGCATGGACTAAATGGTGTGAAGGCTGATATTGCACACTTAATAGCCTCCGGTGTATTACAAACTTTTATATGCACTCAAACCAAAAACCAAACTCACTGACTACGAGTCAAACCTGACTCACAACAAACCTACAGTACAGAGTAGACCTGCACCTGGGTGTCCCCAAGACTGAACTCTGTGGCAGTGGAAAGTCTCATTTGTCTCCCGCCAAGTGGTTGGGGGCTTCCAACTGCTGACTTTGCAGTTAGCAGCCCAACCTGTGACCCAGGGCTCCACCAGGACTCCTGCTTGTTGTACTAGAAAACAAGCCCCAAAAGCAAATGACTCGCTTCATCGTGGGGGTCTAAAGCTGACCCCACAATGTGTCTGACTTAGCTTCTAACTTTGCACAATGTATTTGGCCTCTTTGGGTCTCCGTTTTCTAATGCATTAGGGTTACTTTAGTTAACGGTTACAGAGTTCTTACTGGCACTTAGAATATAAAACATAACTAACCCCCCTGCCATCAAGTAGATGCCTTCTCGTAGTGACCCTATAAGACATGGTGGAACTGCCCCTGTGAGTTTCTGAGACTCTAACTCTTTATGGGAGTAGAAAGCCCCATCTTTCTCCCTTGGAGCCACTAGTGGTTTCAAACTGCTGACCTTTCAGTTAGCAGCCCAACTCATAACCACTATGCTACCAGGGCTCCCTCATTAAGAATACAGCAGTAAATAAAACAGGAATAGTCCCTACCTTCATGGAGATTACAGTCTAGCAAAAGGAAATGGAATGATATAATGTCAAAGGCCTTTCCTTACGAAGGTACTCAATAAATGTTCATTCTGTTTCATTTCCTTGTAAACACATGATAATTATGCATCAAAATACTGTCAAAAGTAAGGTGGCTTGTCCATACAGAAGCAAGTCAAGAAGGAAAGAGAGAGGGTGAGGGACTGGACCCCCTACTGGCACACCAAGCCCTGAGGATGATGTCCGTCCACAGAGCTGCTAAGGCACAGAGAGGGCTGTAGGACCGACAACAGCTTAAGACATGATATCCCCTCGCCAGAGCATACAGAGACAGAGGACAATACTGGGGACACACGACGGGGAGTGAATCCCGTCTGACCACCCCCACAGTGGGGCAAACTAAGAAGAGAACATAACAGATCAGCAACCGGAGCAAAGCAAAGCCACAAAACCTCTGAGGAGCCCCCGAAATAGACTTCAGGCTAGGAGAGATAATTCCCAGAACCCCCCAGGCCCAGTGGGGAGATAGTCATAAAGGTCAATAGACAGACCTGGAATAATGTGTGCTTTTTTTTGTTGTTGGGGGGGTGGGGGGTGTTTGTTTTTGCCAGTTTTTTTCTCTTTCTTTTTTTGTATTTTCTTTTTTTATTCAATTTTTTATTTTCTTTTGGTTTTACCGTTGTTTTGCCTAACTGTATAAGATAGGCATGGAGGCTAACCCAAGGAGAAAGCAGCAGGACTGACAGGTCCAGAGGGACTTGTGGGGATGGGAGGCAGGGGAAGGGAGCGGTGAGCAAACAATGCCATAGACAGGGGAGCAACTAGGGAATTAAAATCAGCAACAAGGAGGACGTAGAGATTCTGGGGGTGTTGGAGCAACAGCAATCTAGCTGAGAGGGATTACTAAGAGACAGAAGAAGGGCAAGTGTGATGGCGGCATAGGAGGAAGGTAAAAGGAAACAGGAAAGATCTAGGAAGCAAAGCTATGGATAGAGATATAAACATAAGAGTGCACTTATAAAAATATGTTAATTCAGAAAAATAAAGGTATTGGTCTATTTACATATACTGTATATATGCGAGTACAAGCCGACCTGACTATCAGCTGGGGCACCTAATTTTACCACAAAAACTACATTAAAAATGTGCTGGAAAACTCGACTTATACACGAGTATATATGGTATTCATATTGCAATACATTGAGGAGTGGGTGGATTTTGGGCCTCTGCTCAAGCCCTCCCTCAATACAAGAACCATTGGTTCTAACAAGTTGACATTCTGTGATGCTCACCCTCCCAGCACGATCGCTGAAGACAAAATGGGTGCATAAGCAAATATGGTGAAGAAACATGAGGGTACCCAGCTATCAAAAGATATAGCATTTAGTGTCTTAAAGGCTTGAAATTAAACAAGTGGCCATCTAGCAGAGAAGCAACAAACCCACGTGGAAGAAGCACACCAGCCTGTGCAATCATGAGGTGTCAACAGAATCAGGTAACAAGCACCAGAAGACCCCAAACAAACAAACAAAAAGATATTGTTGAGAATGAGGGGGGTCAGAGCAGAGACCCAAAACCCATCTGTAGAGACATCACCTCACAGAAGGGTCACAAGGAAGGGATGAATCAACCAGGGCACAGCATAACACCAATGAAATGCATAATATTCGTCTGGTTCTTTGAGGCTTCCTCACGCCCACGAGCATGACCTCAGTCCTGCCTTTCAGATCTGGCTAGACAGCATGGACACAGGTCCAGATACGAGCCCAGGACACACAGAATCCAGGTCAGATCAACCCCGCAGGGGCAGAGATGGGAACAGTGGCACCAGGAGGGTAGGGGAAAGGTGGGGAGGAAGAGGGAGGGAAGGGGGAATCAATCTCAATGATCAGTACATGACACGTCCCCCCCCCCCCAGGGAGATGAAGAAAGAAGCAAGGATGAAAATGATGATGGCAGCATCTGTACAAATGTGCTTGAAACCATTGATGTGTGGAATGTTATAAGGGCTGTAAGAGCCCCCAATAAAATGATTTCTTTTAAAGTAAGGTGACTACAATCAATTTCATATAAAAAAATTGCTTCGGGTGCTCAAACAACCATGATAAGGGAAATTTTCCCCCAGCACCCCAGCATATGTCTCATGAACTTGAATTCATTTTGTGGTCTTCAGTCAAATCCACATTAGAATTGATGGTCCACATGGATTCTTTTTATGAAGTTCAAAGAATTACACAGAAGTTGCCTCGTCTATCCGTTAAGTGAATTGGAAGAGCCATTAGGAGTAAACCCAGTTCACAGATAAGGAAGCTGACAGGCAGGTTCTTTGACTTGTCTTTCTCCCCTAGTGCTAGTCTGCAGGGACTGTCTGCCCCGGGAGGAGCTCTAGGTGAGGGGCCTAACTGTTTCAACCCAGCAGCCTCCGAGGGCCAAAGATGAGGCTCTCCACTCCCAGGGGCAGGTCCACCCTGTCCTGTAGGGTGGGATGAGCAGGAGCGATTGGATGGCCGTGAGTTGGGGCTTTTCTTGTCCTCTTGGTTTGCACCTTGACAGCTCCGGTGACTCGGAAAGGAGAGGGAGCCCCTCCCCGCAGCCCCCAAAAAAACATGTGGGGGAAGAAATGGAGTCTGGATTGCCCCGCTCAGCTTCTGCCCTCTCCCTCCTCCAGGTGGTGAGAGATGGGCGACTGGAGCTTCCTGGGCAACATCTTGGAGGAGGTGAACGAGCACTCCACCGTCATCGGCCGCGTCTGGCTCACCGTGCTCTTCATCTTCCGCATCCTCATCCTGGGCACGGCCGCGGAGTTCGTGTGGGGGGACGAGCAGTCGGACTTCGTGTGCAACACCCAGCAGCCGGGCTGCGAGAACGTGTGCTACGACCAGGCCTTCCCCATCTCCCACATCCGCCTCTGGGTGCTGCAGATCATCTTCGTGTCCACGCCCTCGCTGGTGTACGTGGGCCACGCCATGCACCACGTCCGCATGCAGGAGAAGCGCAAAGAGAGAGAGGTGGAGGAGCTGTGCCCGCAGCCGGGGGGCAACGGCGCCGAGAGGGGTCCCCTGGGCCCCGACCAGGGCAGCCTCAAGAAGGGCAGCAGCTGCAGCCGAAGCACCAAGCAGTTCCGGCTGGAGGGGACCCTGCTGAGGACCTACGTCTGCCACGTCATCTTCAAGACCCTCTTTGAGGTGGGCTTCATCGTGGGCCACTACTTCCTCTACGGGTACCACATCCTGCCCCTGTACCGCTGCAGCCGGTGGCCCTGCCCCAATGTGGTGGACTGCTTCGTGTCACGGCCCACGGAGAAAACCATCTTCATTGTCTTCATGCTGTCCGTGGCCTCCGTGTCCCTGTTCCTCAACGTCATGGAGATGAGCCACCTGGGCCTCAAGAGGGTGCGTTCGGCCTTCACGAGGCCAGAGGAGCAGCCGCTGAGCGACATCCCTGAGAAATCGCTCCACTCCATTGCGGTCTCCTCCATCCAGAAGGCCAAGGGCTACCAGCTCCTGGAGGAAGAGAAGATCGTGTCCCGTTATTTCCCTTTGACCGAGGTCGGGATGGTGGAGAGCAGCCCACTAGCTGACAAGCCTTTCAGCCAGTTTGAGGAGAAGATGACCGCAGCGCCCCTGGGGGACTTGTCCCAGGTTTGCCGAGCGAAGTTGCCCTCTTATGCTCCGGTGGAAGTGGAGGACGTAGAGCAGCCTGCAGACCAGGGCGCGGAATCAGAGGAGAGAGCTGCGCAGGTGACCACAGAAGGGCAGGAGGCAGTTCTGGAAGGGGAGAACGCAGAGAGCTTCCCAGCGAGTGCCCAGGCCGAGAAAGAAGAGCTGCCGGCAGAAAAGGCATCAAAGCCAGGGCCCCTCCTGTGTGCAGAGCTGGCTGCTGATGACCCCCGAGCTCTGAGCCGGCTGAGCAAAGCCAGCAGCCGGGCCCGGTCAGATGACCTAACTGTATGAGAGAAAGGAAACTCCCAAGCCTGCCAGATAGAGAGCAGAAAGACCCCGGCGTGCTTTCACTGTTTGGTTCCCTGCCCTAACCCCCACTCCTGGTTGATGAGGAGTGGACCCCAATCATGCTAAACAAGTAGGGCATTGCTTTGCCCTTAGTGAGGGACGGCCAAGACAGTCACAACTCTGTCTCATCAAAGTTTCCAATCTCATAGGACTGCCCTGCCCCTCCACCCTAACTGCTATGGGTGACTCTTCTTCCATCCCTATTGCTCCATCAAAATCCTTCTGAGCTGAATCATGGGAGCCCCCACCAGCTTCCACCAGTCTTGCCTCAACATCAGTAGCTCAGCCTGACGCTATCATTTCCCTGGCAGATACTATGTGACCATAGTATGTGTTCAAAACCTCAAGCTCACTGCCAGCGAGTTGATTCCAATAGTCCCTGTGGGTTTCTTGAGACTATAATTCTTTATAGGAGTAGAAAGCCTTATGGGGAGTAGAGAGCCTCATCTTTCTCCCTCAGAGTGGCTGGTGGTTTCAAACCACTGACTTTGGAGGAGCCCTGGTGGCCTAGTGGTTATGTGTTGGGTTTGCAAACTATAAGATCAAACCACTGACTGCAGTTAATAGTCCAACACATTACCACTAGGCCATGAGGGCTCCATATGCCCTGGAGTCACGAACACAAATGCCTACAGGATCCAGGTAAGGGGCATAGTCCTGGTGGCACAACAGTTGAACGGTCACGTGCTAACGGAAAGGTTGGCAGTTTGACCAAACCCAGCTGCTGTGTAGGGGAAAGACCTCTGGCTACCTGCTTCTTGAGGAAGACAGCCAACAAAACACCCGGGGCAAGTTGACGCTGCCCCACGTGGTCTCCGAGCTGAAAAGCAACTCCCCAGCACCTGACAACAAACAGCAAGCCTGTTCCAGGGTAACGGGGAGAGAGGATGAACATGGAGAGAGGATGGGGTGGTCACTGCTCAGGTCCAGACCATTATTAACCTGCTGTGTTTACCTGGCCCTCTGACTTATTTTTTTTTTTAGAAGCCAGAATTACAACCATTTCTGAGAAACTTATAAAATCGTTCATGTGTGCAACTAAATTGTAAATATACCATATGGACAAAACAAAATTTGAGCAAGCCAAATTAAACCTATGGGACATTCTTGTCTTAGTTACCTCATGCTGCCATGGCAGAAATATCACAGATGGACAGACAGCCTTCGAGAACAGACATTTACTCTCTCACAGTTTAGGAGGCTAGAAGACTGAGTTTAGGGCACCAGCTCGAGGGGAAGGCTTTGGGGGAAGGTCCTTGTCTCCCCTCAGGAGCGGAGGCCTGCCATTCCCCGGAGTTCTCTGTTTGTCTTGGCATCAACCTTCCCCAGGGCCGAGGAGGTTCTCAGAACCTGGGGCCCAGCTCAGCTTCCTTCCTCCTCATGAGGTCCCTCCTCTCTCCTCTGCCCCCTTGTCAAAGGAAAGGTTTCACTCAAACAAGGGAGCGGCTTGAGTGTGACTGGAGTCACCTCCTCTGATGAGGCTGCAACTCAAGACGTACCCCACACTGATCCTGCCTCGTTAACAGAGAGGTTGGGGGTCTAATTTATCACCCAGTGGAGGCAAATGCAGGTCAACCCCACAATATCAGGACTCATGGCTTAGGCAATTGAACACATATTTGGGTGGAGAGGCAATATTCAATAAATGGCAAGCACCAATTTGCAAAGTCAGCTTATGCTAATGAGCCCATCTTTCCTGTGGACTTGCTCTCATACTCCATGGTCTCATGTCACCACTTTTGAGCACTCAGTTTAAATCACAGGCCAGGAGCATTCTCACCAGCCATTTGGAGGATTTACTGCAGCCCCTGGATTCTGAAGCAAGTATTACCGTCTTAGGGGGTAAAAATTCTTTGGAGGTTAAAAAGTCTGCCCTGGGCACCATCAGAGAGAAAGTTCAAGAACTAGACCCTCCCTCTATGAAATGTAAAGGCTCGGAGGCCTGTCACAGTAGTTTTCTTTCCTACAGCCAAGAAAGTCCTTCTCTTCCTCGACTCTCCCAACATCAGGTGCTCAGCCTAAAAGCTACCTCCCCCTTCATCAAGGTCCGGGAGCAAGGCCAGCTCCCAGTCAGACCACAGCTGCCCATGGCCTGTGCCCAGGAGGGCCAGCTCTCAGGCTCCGACTCAGGCGCCAGACATTGATGAGCAACGCCATCGGAGTGACTCTCTGCAGGGCCTCTTCCAAAGTACGCATCTGGCTCCCAAAGTGCAGTTCCAGGCCAGGCTTCGCTCCAGAAGGAATGTAGAGCCTCAAGGGAATAAGGACATTCCGAAACTCTCCTGTTCTGTATCCTCACCACCAGCCCACTTAACCAAAGAACCCAGACACGGGGAAACCTGAAGTGCAGGCACATATGTCACACGGGGAGCACTTTTGCCCAGAGACCACCAATTCCCAGAGCAGAGGGCAAAAGTGATAACTGGATGGCTCATCTAAACCGAAGCAACGCTTCGTAGACTGCAATCGCATGGCTGGAATGGGAGGGGTAGAAACCAAGTTGGCATGGCAGCAGACACACCAGGGAACCCCGAGAAACAACCTCCATTTGATCTCCCCTCAACCAGCACCAATCCAAACTAGCCAAATCCCTTCTGCTGCCCACTGGTTGCAGAAGAAAGAGGAAAGAGAAACGTTTACAAATGACTATTCACTCTCCACTATTACCGATCCCAAAGCTTGAAAGAGAATGGTAGTTAGCTGTCAGCGACCACATAGCCAGGAGGCCCTGGATTTTGCAAATGGTTAACATGCTCAGCTGTTCCCTCAAAGGTTGGAAGAAAAATCTGGAAATCTACTTCCAAAATAATCAACGACTGAAAACTCAGTGGAGTACAGTGATACTGTGATACACATAGACTGTCATCAGTCAGTCCCAACCGGGTGACGACTAGCTTTGGGGCCTCAAAAATAGCAGTGAGATTTACTACAGTCTTTACCTCTCCTGCCTGAGAATTTGTCCAGGGCACACAAGAATTTTAGAAAAGTAGATAGATCCATTGCCTTTTTCTTCAAAATTTTCTGTCAAGTAGAATTGGGAAAGATACAGCTGACCACCACCAAGTTGATTCCAACTCACAGTGACCCTCCAGGATGGAGTGGAAGGACCCTGTGGGGTCTGAGACCCTCACTATTTAGGGATGTACAAGCCTCATCCTTCTCCCAAGGAGCCACGGTGGTTTCTACCTGCTGGCCTTGCAGTTAGCAGCCTAACATGTCATCCACCACACCCCAGCCAAGAAACACATTCAAACACACTTCCTGGGAAAAGCTCTCTGGCAAAAGGGAGAGGTCTTATTGGGATTGTGGTCCTGGGCTCTCCACTTCCTAAAAGTCGCGTTAGGCTGTAGTAAAACAAACCAAACTACCTGGGATTTTCACCAGCTTCGTTTTCTGTTTTGACATGTCGGCCAGAGGGGGCCGCAAAAAGACCCTTCACATTTCTGACTGTTCATTCACTCGGGGCTGAAAGGGTGTGGAACCAGGATTGGACTGGGGAGGGGACAGTGGTCTGCTGGTTAGCCTTGAAAGGCCAACTCTCTCCCGAATAAACAAGTCTTGATTCGTAGTGCTGCTCTAGTGCCTCGGCGTCAATTCTCCCATGATTGCCCATTTCAAGCTACGAACGTAATACCTTGAACACAGAGTTGGGAAGAGATACAGACTATTCAGTGATAAAACATTGTCTTGTGCAGTGGGATATGCCATACAAAATCTAAGTAATCTTAAGAGTCTAGCTAATAGGAAAATGAAACAGTGGTAAGTTTTGAGTATTTGTTACCTTTGCGTTTCATACAATTTTCATTAATTTTAACTTTATGTGATTTAATTTTTAATGATGTGTGGGAACAGGTCCAGCATGCAGGGGAGTGAGGGAGATGGAGTCGACGCCGTGTGCACAGACTCCGGAGACCAGGCTCTGATGGTGCAGATCTAATTTGATTGTTGTCTTTCCGCAGTATAGACAGAGCGCACCAGCCAATCAAATGTTACTGCGCCTACTTCCTTGCTCTAAATTTTATCTTTATGTGGTTATGAAATTGCGCTAATGAGGAAGAGGCAGCAGGCGTGGCCCAGGGGCTAGCGCACGCGGAGGAATGAGGAAACTGACAGAGCCGCTCGTTCCCGGGGCATGGTGTCTCACGGGTGTGCGGGCAGCCATTGTACAGGGAGACGGGCTGCCGCTTCTCAGGCCTGCTCAGAAGGCTGAGCAGCATTCTGTGCTTTCTGTGCTGTGCCTCCTGCATGCATTCTGACTCCACAGCCATCACCCCCACAGGTTCCTCCTAGGCCTTTAATTCAAGGCTTAATAAATCCACTGCTAATGCTTTCGTCATAGCCGTTCTGGCTCATAAGCACAGGAAACATTTCCACAGTAATATACAGAAAATATAGCAAATTGCAAAGCCCACATATATAATAAGACTACTACTGGGTGAAAACCGTGATAACAACTTATTGCGCACATCAGAAAAAAGGAAATTCAAGGTATTTTCTATATTTAAAATATCCACTTTTGTTTGATTTACATGAACAATTTTTTCAGACATTTGTTAAAAAACCGGTAAAAGTTTGATTCCATGTTAGATACAAATACTGTTGTTGAACAAGTAAGGCTTGTGTTGAGTTTAAATTAGTCTGGTATTGGGTTAAACATATAGCTGAATACCACAGGTCACAGGTTCCATGTATCAACAGCCGTAAATTATCCACATCTTCAGAAACAAGCCCAATTTGATGCTGTAGTGAGGTTAAGCCCGCTTGTAATCGGATATTTACATGATACTGAGCGGACAAAGCTTGGGCTGTACTACTAGATAAATTATTTAAAGTATGGGCTAGACCAGAGGATGTACAGTGGTACAGATAGGAACTGAAAATACAGGGAATCCAGGACGGATGAGCCCTGCAGGACCAGTGGTGTGAGTGGCGAAACAGGGAGG